ATCCCTCCAGGTCAGCGGACAGGTCAGCTTTAATCTCATCTGACCAGAGCATTTTTTTTTTTTTACCTCTACATACCCCATGGCAAACTGCAAACATTTTATTGCTTTCTTCTTTTTATCTTCACCATAAAGAGACCATTTTTGAAGGCCAGAGAAAGCAATTGCTTGGATGAAAACTATTCCCGGAGAATTGATTCATTACTTATTGGGGGGGGGGGTTCAAAGCTTTTGCTTTTTGGGGGGGGGGGTTCAAAGCTTTTGCTTTTTTTTTTTTTTTCCACCTAAAGCATTTTAAATTCAACCAATCACAATCTGTCTGCTGTGTTTATTGGTCTTCATTACCTTTCATTATGTACTATTACAAAACTCCTTTACCGAATACCTGGATTTTTACTTTATCCCACAGACTCAATTAAGTAGTTAGTTAAAGTCGAAAGATAAATTCTTACTATGAATTATATTAAGAGGAGTCGGTATACAATACACAAGTTATACAACAGCCGAAACTTGTCATCTTTATTTGCACAAACAAACAAACAATAAAAATATAAGCACTCATTTTTCTTAGGTTTTTGCCAAGCACTACGAAATGGAGTAAGTTACCTCTCGACAAATCTCTTTTAGCTCATGAAAAGCCACATTCCTCTTAGAAGTTTGCAGGTAACCTTCAGCATCCTCGCAAAGGTAATAAAAATATAGAAAAAAAAATTGTGTTGTGGGCAGAAAGTTTGAAGAATGTGACATTTTGGCATTTTTGTGCGAATGTGTTGTGCCGAAGCTTTCAGAAAGCATTTGTGTTTTCCATTGCTGCAGGTTATCGCGCTGTTCCCCTGGCCTCTGCGGCTTAAGGTCAGGTATGGTGTTTAAGGTGGGGGAGGCACTATATGCTACTGTCGGGCATTTGGAGATACTGCATAGGTGTAGATCTGCAGAAGCTTGCTTAGACAGGTTGTGAACTTGTGTCTAGCCAACTGTGGATCACTTTTAGTTTCTAGGAACCATACCAGTAACCTGTGGGTATCCTCACACATACACTGCTTGGGAGATGGCTCAGAGGAGATGAACTTACTTTGGCAACTCAGTTAATACCTTTCTCAGGAACTGCTTTTCATCTTTTCTGCTGAAATTATTCAGTTTATGTGGTTTGGCTCATCCACTGAATAGGACAGGTCCACACTGCGACAAGCATGGCTGACCTTCCTTCCATCCAGGATTTGTACAGGGCTAAGATTTTTAAACATTTAAAATAGCAGCCACAGGCTTTCTAACCCCAGGCTGTCAATCTGAAGAACAGACAGCCTGAGAACTCTGATCAATACCATGCTTATTTGGATCTGTCTGCTTATGTCTTTCTTTTTGGTAAAACTTGTTTGTGTACATATTAACAATCAATATTTTTATTTATTATTATTCTCCTTTTTTAAACACATCATACTTTAAATGTCTTCACGGAGAGCAAAGTGGATCCAAAGACAAATTTCTTGTTTGTATAAAAACCTAGAGATTAAAGCTGATGATGATTTTAAGAAAGCTTTGTGTTGTGTCCTGTCTTGGCAGCTTATGCTGGCAGCATAGGACAGGTACGGTTATCTTACAGCAGGGATGTCCAAAGTGTGGCCATGGGTCCATGTGCTGGCCTCTGATAAACTTTAAAGCTACAGTGTGTAATTTTCAGCGACATCTAACGTCCAGACTGCAGACCGCAGCAACATGAACATCTCTCCCCCACCACTTCTCCCCCCCCAACAGTACG